AATCTGTCCCAGGTGTGACAGTACTGATACTTTCAAAAGACATTTAAAAAATAATTGCACAAATAATGCATTAATTTAATTCCAGAAAAAAAATCTCTAGAATTGGACGAGTAGAGGGCACAGGTGAGGGAAGGAAAGGAGTACCTGTGGTTCTAAACTGCACCAGCATGACGCGTGTCTGCTGACCGGAGGGCAGAGTGGTGAGACAGTGCTTCTGGGGCTCTTGGAACATCAGAAAAACCTTCGATTGATAAGGGGGCCAACATTCCTCAGTATTGTACGCATGTTAATAAAGACATTTTCCCAGTACTGAGCTTAGGGGTCAAGGATCCTGGGCACATTGATTGAACAGACCAGCCATTGGTAAAACTTCCACAAGCTCTGCAGTAACTCGGAAAAGAGGGGAGGAGCTACTGGTAAAAATGCAAGAACCACTCCCTTATTTAATAATGGATAAAACTTCTGCAATGAGTAATTCAGGGTGGTCCAGTTGCTCCCAGTACAGCCTGGAATTTGGGAGCGAGACAAAAGCAGTTAGCATTCAGGTGTGCTAAGCAGCTTTATTAATCTCCAACATCTGATCTATGCAAAAGACATGCAATTGTGACTGGCTACACCAGCAGCTCCATTTGGTACAGCAGCAGCTGCCAGCACCAGACATAAAGGTCTTCCTGGATTTTATGCCAGCTCTAAGTAACCTAACCCAACACATTATTTGTCAAGATAAAGTGTTTCCAGGCCAAGCCAGGCAGCAATTTGTAAAGACGCACCACACCTGAAGGACTGTGGCCATCCAGCTGGTGTCATCGAGCCCAGAAATGTTCCTTGTATTGTATTAACAATTGGAGATGTCCTTGAGGCTGCACAGTTTAAAAGGGCTAGAAGACCCCTCTGGAGCACAGTAGAGTGATCACAGTGTACAGCAGTAGGCAGGTGGGGGCCCAGGGATCAGCAGACTCTGGGGATCCATTACAGAGGCCCAAAGAGCAACAGGCATGCCTCATGGTGTAGTTCACCCCCCTGAAGGAGAGGGGGCGCTCTAAGCCACAGAGCTCCTTTAGCACACATCCCTGTGCAGAAAGCTGCTCCAGGCCACCATAATAGCCGATGCCAGTGTAGCAGCGCTCCTCTGGCTGGCACTCCGTCTCTGTGGCATTGCAGGGATCTTCCAGCCGGTGAGGTGGGCAGAAGTGGCAGAGCAGGGTGGTGCAGGAGAGCTTGGGCAGCAGGAGCCACAGGCACAGCAAGACCCGAAGACAGGCAGCCCTTGGACACATGGCTGAGACAGAACAACACACAGCTTGTTAATAACAGGGCCTGTCCCAGAGTGCATCACCGTGCAAATGTTTCTTCCAATCCTCTTTAACCTCAGCCCACTGCAGTCAGCTTGGAGCCTTCCGAGATGCTAATGACCCCAAAGAAATAAAACTGTTTTTAAAACAGCTCATCCCTAACCTTATACATGCTATTCGTGAATTCCAGTATACAACCTACCACAGATGTTGCTAAAATACAGTACCTCTACTACATCTCTGAATTGCCATGGTGCTCAGGGCACATCTGGACAAACACATTCCATTCATTCCAAGACCCAGATTGCACACATTTTACAAAAGTAATTTTTATTGCCTGTTGCAATTTTAAACAGGTTTGGAGGAAGGAGTGGACACTTAAAACTGTTTGTACATTAAGCAGCCAAACGCAGCCAGTTGTTTGTAGAGAGCAAAGCCAGTTCCCCTGCCACAGCATTCAAATGCACTGACCAGTGGCCACTAAACCCCTGACTCCCAGCTGAGGACCAGTGGGCAGCCAGCCTGCCAGCAGTGAGCAGGATTAGGAAGAAAGGGGTAAGAAACATGCAAGACAGAGAGTCGAGTCGAGTAGAGTTTGACTGTGGAGCCTTCTTCAAACTTCTTCACCTGAAGAAGGCTCCACTGCCGAAACAATGCAATACTTCTCAGCATGGAATAGATGCTTTACTTGCTCCTTTGCAGCCTACACATGCTGATGCAGCTGCCCACTTGAATTTATTAAAAAAAAACACAGCAAGAAAGGAATCCATACAACTAATTGCTCGTCACAAATACACAGCTTCTCAGATTCCCATCAGCCTTCTCAGTAGGGGTGTGTTGAAGGACAAACAGAGCAGAGACCTCGCAGGCTCTCAGTCTGATCCGTCCAGGAGCAGTGCAGGAGGCCCAGCCGGCCTCCATTCAGACAGCGCTGCTTTAGTTCACTCGGTCCCTGGTGCGAACTGAAGACCAGTCAGGGAACTCACTTTCTGCACAACAGCTGAGCTTAATTAGGGCCCTACTGTTTCTCTGCTTCTCTGGGTTTGTGTATCTGTTTAATTTTAGTGGGCTGTGGCAGCGTGGAACACGCTTACCAGCCATGTTGTTGGAGCCAATACCCTGGTTTCTTTCCAGGAACAGCTGGATCAATTAACTACCACCTACCAAACAGGCTAGATTTCTACACCCATTTCTACATCCAACTGTTCTCGTGCTCTTATCTCCTCGAGAAGAGAAGCTGCTGCCTCCAGCCCAGTCAGCGCTGGCTCTCGTGCTGCTGTCCCAGTTACAATCAGAGCCTCAGCTCACTCACCCAACACACGTGCCAATCTTTTACATGGATGGTTTTTCCGTTGGGGGCATCCTGTGTCTCTCTCTTCAGAGCAGTCAGATCAGAGATTCCCAGCCCTTTACCTGAGGGACTCCCACACCTGCTGCTTTTCATTGTTGGCGAGCTCTTGGCTTAATTAAGTCCTTAATTGAACTAGCAATTAATTGAACTAGTTTTTTCTCGTCTTCACAATTGGAGATATTTAGTGACTAAACACAGTAGCTAAAAGGCAACTTATAATGTTTCAGAACTGTAAGCAAAGAATTCAGAATGATCCAGTTATAATTTTAATTAATTATGTACCTGAGAGTCCAGCTGGATTGAATAGTGGCAGGTGTGGGAGTCCTCAGCACCAGCATTGAGAACTCCTGACATACAGACATTTCTGATTTAGCCCTTCTCTGGATCTGGTTAATTTAACTTCATTCTGTCATGTTATCAGGGAGCTGAATTAGGTTCAGAGTGGCAATGAGAACAGAAGAGGCTTAGAAGCGAGAGGAGGCTCTTCAGCCCATTTCACGGTATCTACTGGATCACAGGATTGCAGCCAGATGTTTCTTGAAAGAAGCCCATGTATCAATTTCAACAACATAGCTGGGAAGTTTGTTCCACACTCCCACAACCCTTTGTGTAAGGAAGCAGGTTTAAAACCGAGAACAAGAGGCACATCTATAGAGTTTCTCTTGTTCGTGTTTCACAGCTGATGCTTAAGAAATCCCCTGGATTGACTGTATCAGCTCCCCTCGAAGTCTTTGCTGTTCAGGACTAAAAAGGTTCAGTTCTTTCAGCCTGCCAGTGCAGGACAGCCCCCTGGTTCCCAGAATGTTTCTGGTTGCCCTTTTATGGATTCCAAAAGACCAATCTCTTCTCTATAAAGAGAAGACTAAGACTGTAACGAATAGGAAGATCCGGTATTGGTTTACCATTGGAAGGGCACCACTAAGAACTGAGCTTGTTTGCCGTCTGGCCAATTGGATTTCATGTGCAGGTGAAAGGTTTTAACAGAGTCTCTCACCCCCCGCCAGCTCCACACTTAAGCAATAAATGCAGCATGAGACCAGACCCAAAACAGATATTCACAGGCTGGAAGCAAAGCCTTTTATTTCTGAGGCAAAAGCAAACTTCCAGAGGAACAAACCTTAACAGTACATTGAAAGTATTGGAATCCACCTCTTCTAAGGCACCACTCGTGGTATTAGACACTGTTTTTTGTGCTCCATCTTTCCCGTGCAGCTGTGAACAACAGCCTTTCAAGTGTCTTTCTGTGCCTCCTCAGCTGAGGATCACTAGGAATATAAGGCTGCTCTTCCCACAAGGAATTCTGCAATATAAGTCGCAAACTGCGGCATTATTTCAGCACCCTGGACAAGGACCTGCGTCCCAGCCGTCCGGACAGAGCTGGGTAGCTCCAGCACTCCATGACTGGACTCCAGCAGGACTGCGACAGCTAACGTCCCCCAGATTACTCCCATTATCTGCTGCAGCTGATGCCAGAGATGCAATGAAGAGGCAAAGGACTTTGCCAGGCCTGCAGACTGGTGTTGCCCAGCCTGATTACCGATGCCTGGGGAAAAAGATCAAACACTTCATCCAGCCAGCTAGGGTAATCTCTGGGGTAATCTCTTTGTGCTGTGAGAAAGTGTTCCCAGGGAGAAACAAGACACCGGGAACCCATTCTCCAATCCCCCATTACACACCGACCAGAGTTTGTAACTTAACCCACAATGAGGACATTCACAATTCACAGGTTGCAAATATCAGTGAACGGTTAGCAGTAGATCGCATTACAGACAGCAGCACATGGGGACAGTGCTCTTAAACACCTCCCTCATGTCAGCCCGTCTGCAGAGACAGAAGGAATCTCGCTGCCCTTCCTCCTTGCTCACTCAGGCACTGCAATCGCTCTGCTCCAAGCCCATGTTCACAGACCTGTGTGGACAGGATCTGACCCAGCAGGACGGCCTTGAGTATTAACTGTGCACACGGGGGAGTGGATTCTCAGCCTGTTCTGGGCAAACCTGGAGCAGCCCAAACTGCTGTGGCCCCACTCTGGGATCCCCGTGTGGTAGGGCAGGGTGCACTGGGAAGACGGGAGCTGGGGGGGGTGGGGAGGGGTCAGCATCAGGGGTAGGGCATCCTCAGCAGCTGCTCCAGGCCAGGGGTCTGGCTCTGATTCCGGTTACACAGGTCCCACGAGCAGCAGGTGGAGCTCATGGTGTAGTTCGACCCCCGGTAGGAGACGGGGTGCTGCAGGCCACACAGCACCCTGGGTAGGCAGCCCTGGGCGGAGAGGGGCTCCAGCCCACTGCGATGCCCAGTGCCAGTGTAGCAGAGTTCCTCTGGCTGGCACTCGGTCTCCATGGCAACGCAGGCCACATCCAGGCGATGCACAGGGCAGAAGTGGCAGAGCAGGATGGCACAGGGCACTGTGGGCAGCAGGACCCCCAGGCACAGCAGCACGGAGCTGGGTAGCCCTGGGCATTGAGGTGTCCTGCCAACACAGGAGGGGCAAGGGGGTTAATCTTTTAAAATGTAAGGGAGGTGCCCGCTCCCAAGCTGATGAATTAAAGCTTGCCCACTGGGGGGAAACTCAGACCAGTATCTCCTAATGGATGTGTCAAGTTTCCACTTCCAGCTGGTTGAAAAGCTTTCATGCATGGTCATCATCTCACGGGCGAGTGTTGCAGTGTGTGTGACTGAGCGCAAGCTTACAGGCAATCACAAGAGTGTCGCCCCATCAGTGCGATAGTACAGTACTCTATGTGTAAGTGCTTGCTCCCATAACGTCCAAGGTTGTTTTGAGAATTCCCCCACAATCCTCTTTCACCAGGAGGACAGCAGCGCTGCAGAGGTGCTATACTAATGAGAGGGGGGAAAAGGTCAACTAACTTACCAGCACTCAGACTGTCCCAGCTTCACCATCACCCTGTGACACTGAATTAAAACTGCAGGACACTGAGGGAGGAAGAGATGGGGGACACAGTACCCTCCCTCGAATAAGACAGCTGCGTCTGCCCGACGCTGAAAGCTGATTGGCTGATGGAGTGTTCGACTCCCTGCGTGGCATGGGAATGCGGACACTGCCGGCTTCTGATTGGTCCAGCGACCTCCCAGACCCACCTGCTCAGGCCTGAGGGCTTCTGTTCAGAAATATGGACAATAAGGTCAGCTGCTTCATGACTCGGGTGACACGATGAATGAATGAATGTGGGAAAGAATGCAGGGGTACTTTTTAACTTTACAGTCTGGGAGGAGACGTTTTCCCCCCGCCAAAAAAAACCTCCGTTTATTTGCTTTTCTTTAGATTAGATATAGCAATTAGTGCTACTGTAGATGTGTGTTTCAAATTCTAGTTTTCAGTGCCTAAATGAAGTAATCATTCACGGAAGCGCATGGAAAACAATATTCGATCTCAAACAATATTCTCGTCATCGTGCAATGTAATTACAGCTACCGAGAGCTCTGCTGGAACTGTGGGGTTCCGTGCTGAAGAGTGAGCCCTGGGCTTCATTCAAGATCGCATATTAGCTCCGTGAAGTTGCCGCCCGCCCGCCCGCAGACTGCAAAAACGATGAAAACCACCCCATTCGTTGGTGCTACTTCGTGCCGGTTTGTGTCGTTGAAAGCAGCGTCTGTGCTGCTTTCGTCCCCGAGATACCGCGCCTTGGCTCTCGGGTGATGGCGTGACCTCGCACGGTGGCTGTGCCCTCCAGTGACCCCGCCCGCCGGGCTCAGTGGCTCTGTCAGCCCTGCGAGAGGAGCGGCTCTGTTCCTCTGTGTGCCCGGGGGGCGGTTCATTTAGCTTTTAATACCGGTATGTTCTGTGCGTTTGTGTGAACAGGCAAATTAAAATTGTCACCAACATTACACCCTAATCGGAAGAGTTGCTGATGTAGCCTTTAAAGGCGAACATTAGCAAGCACCTGCATGTTCTCACAGCGAGCCTTTAACTAGCACGTCTCAGTATTTCTTTTTAAAAAGCTGAAGAAGTAATCGGTTGACCCAGGCAGTTCATAACTCAACTGCAAAACACTGAGAACTCCACCGTCTCACACACGCCGCGGAAATTTTGGAAAATATTTAAATTTCAATTTTTATTTTATTTAAAATAATCGAGCATATATCTACTGTAAGTCCGTCATTATCCATGTCTTCGCATTTACTTTCAACGGCACAAACCGGCACAAACGCAGCACTAACGAATGAGGTGGGTTTCATCGTTTGTGCTGTCCGTAGGGGGGGCAACTTCACGGAGCTTGTCAGACAACAATCTGTACCTACAGTACTCTACAGTGAGCATGGGGACACTCAGACCTATCCTTGAACCAGAAAGACTACCGTGTGATCGATTCCACTGCTGAAACCAGCAGGTTAACTAATGATAATATAGGTCTCAGCGTGCTTCTGTGCGGAAACTTGCTTTATAAATAAAAGTTATTATTATTGTATGACCATAGTGCAATCGTGAGGCTATCGCATGAAGTACGTGATAATGTACAATCTTGTAATCACGACATAATTATACAGCTTGTAATTAAGAGGTAATTTTCTATTTCATAACGACTGGATCATTTTCATGTAATTACACGGGAAAGATTGTTTTTTTCCATGATGGCAGCAATGCTGTCCTGTAATAATTTGGGCCAGTTTTCCTCTTTTCCTCAGGTCCACAGCCACTGGAATCACCAGCTCCTTCCTGCCTGGAAACAGGACCGTACTGCACCTCCCCAGCCATGACCAGACTCCGGCTCGTTCCCAGAGCCCATCCCGGAGGCACAGGGCACAAGGCAGCACTAACCCCTGGATCGGACAGCAAACCCGGACAACCAAGAGACTCCGAATAACTGAGCCAGCCTGCCCGTGGAAGGTGTCAGGAAAATCCGAGCGCTCAGGGAAAAGGCAACTGTGGAGAACATGCAAACTCCACACAGAGGGTGCCCCGGTCTGGAATCGAACCCAGGACTCCACAGCAGTGAAGCAGCACTTGAGGTGGGATCTCATCATGTTTGTATTGTCATATACACTGGTGACATGAGAACCACTGGCCCCTGCTGGACTGGAGCCCGGTGGGCCTAGAACTCAGATTAAACCACACTGAAGGTCCAGGGAGTCATATGTAATGTATACCATGACCATGATGTGCTCAGTTTGTAGTGCTGTGTTGTGATCGAACTTGGACCCCATCGGTTATCCAGCCTGAACTCCATATGCCTTGATGAATTGTGTGGCAGACGGAGTGCATGTTTTATTGCATGCCTATGACCTTCTGACTGGTCCGATTGTAGTGGGTTTTCATAATTTATATTTCTCACAGTCAGTTAACTTAACTCCCTGTGGGCGGTGTGGTGGCTCTGTCGCTAAGGCAAGGCCCTCAATCCCAGCTGCTCCAGGGGTGCCGTATAAATGGCTGACCCTGCGCTCTGACCCCAAGCTTCTCTCCCTGTCTGAGTGTCTCATGGAGAGCAAGCTCGGGTATGTGAAAAGACAAATTCCTAATGCTAGAAATTGGATATGGCCAATAAAGTGATCTGATCTTTTCAGTCCTGGTGGCTCTCTTGGACTGGTGCTGCCCACCTCTGCTGAGCCTCTGTACTGCCCCCTATATGATTTGATCTGTACTGCAGCACATACAGTACATGGTAGCAGTGAGTTTTTTGGACTTGACTTGTTTTTCTAAAGGAAGGAAAAAAAAAACCACAGGGCTCCAGATTTGACCCTTATCTCTTTATTGTACAAACAGAAGCAGAAGCGAACATTTTTGTTAAAAAAATAAACCTGTCAGTCTTCCTACAGAAGGCACATACTTGAGTTTCCAGTCACTACGCCCTACAGAGAGAGGACCGTCTGGCTGCAGTGCGCCCTATCACGGCGCTGGGCACTGCAGCACAGGGCACACACATACACACACTATGTACAGACTTCACACACAGAATCCACAAGGAGCCCTCCTGCGCCCCAGCCTGTGAGCGGGGTGCACAAAGGGAGAGTTCTGATACCAGCCATGCAGCAATCTGTTGCAAAAGTGCAAAGTGAGGTGCACACAGCCGCTGTATTTCAAGGGAATGAACCCCAATCATTGAAAATGGGGTGAGAAAGAGTGTAGTTCCACACAACTGGCTCCAGGTGCGAACTGTGAGGGACGGGGCTGTGGGCTGTGGAGGGGAGGGATCTTGGAGGAGCTGGGGGGGTTAAACACAATGTCGATTCTGACCAATTCATGTTTGATTTGTATAAAAGAGTTTAAGGGAGAATGCATGAGACTACTGACTGCCGTCAGCAGGAGTGAGCTGTGAAATGGGTCAGAGGAACTGAAATAAACAAACGGAATAGGTCCTCTGGTGCTCTTGGGAGACGTCCAGTGACTTTGATGTTTAGCCCCTGTGGCCGTTGAATTAAAAAATAACAAAAGAGAGCAGTTTTGGACTCCCAGGAACAACACTTTCAGCGCCAAGGAGCACAGCACTAGTGGTCTGGAGAAGAGAGTGAGCGCTCATTTAGACACAGGAGAAGGAGTGCACCGTATCGCCACCACTGAGATTAGAGTCGCACACACAGACCGTAGGTCACAGGAGGAGACAGAACCTGGAGGAGGGGAGGGGGGGGGCAGCCAACTCTCTCCTCTCCCACCCCCAGCTCTCACATCATCAGATCTCTGCTCTATTTCGAGGGAGGCTGATCCCTGCAGTCAGTGACCTGTGGATTTGTGCTAAACCCCTGTTGGCTCAGTGTAGTTAACAGCTTGCTGTATAAGCAGCTCCCTCATCCTGCTTCGGACTCTGGAACGTTGTTGCCTAGTCGCTGTTGTTCCGCCTGGGGCCGGGCCTCAGCAGAATCTGGGCTCGGAGGCAGGCTGGCCACCCGGGCCGAACACGTCTCCCTTTTCTAAATATCTAGCAGGACGTGAATAAACCGGTCCTTGTCTTTGAATGACTTCCCAGTCGTTCTGAGAAGATGGGCGATTACCAGCGTGTTGATTTGCCGTTGTCCCTCCCTTCCCTTCCTCCTGTCTCCCCGTGCTTCCCTGTGGTCTTCCAGTCCGGTCTTCCACTCCGCGCCTCCCTGCCGGAGCTGGGGTGCCCGTCGCGTGCGGCCGGGTGGGCGAGAAGGGAGGGGGGCCGAGGCGCTAGACGCTGTGTCTCCGGCTGTGGATCATGGCCACGATGTGCGTGAGGTCCAGACTCTTCATCATCACCTCCATGAACTCCTCGTCCTTGCGGGCGCCCTCCACAAACTCGTCCAGGGACAGCTCGCCTGCAGGGGGGCGGGGCAGGACAGGCGTGAGCACTTAGGATCACTTTCACTAATCCTTCCTGAACATTAGAAGCAAACTCTGCCCCGCAGGGGAAACTCCGCAGATCCCCCTGATCGACTGGTGTACCTTGTGACTCTCCCAGAGCCTCTCCTGGGATCAGTGCGGATCACACCATGTGAATCAGTGACGGACTGGCAAAGCATTCGACTATTTTCTTTTTCATTCAAGCAGAGTCGGGTCATGAAATTAAAAGACAAATACAGATCTCGCTGGAGATCCGTGATTCTAGTAATTAATAATAATAATAATAATAATTGCTGACACTCCACTCAAAGCGCTTTACAGGTAATGGGGGCTCCCTTCCACCAGTGTGCAGCCCCACCTGGATGATGTGACGGCAGCCATAGTGCTCCAGAACGCTCCCCACACATCAGCTCTCAGTGGGGAGGAGAACAGAGTGATGAAGCCAGTTCAGAGATGGGGATTATTAGGAGGCCATGACTGGTAAGGACCAATGGGAAATGTGGCCAGGACACCAGGGTTACACCCCAATTATTTTCGAGAAACGCCCTGGGATTTTTAATGACCACAGAGAGTCAGGACCTTGGTTTTACATCTCATCCGAAGGACAGCGCCTGTTTTTACACTACAGTGTCCCGGTCACTATACTGGGGCATCAGGACCCACATGGACCGCAGGGTGAGCGCCCCCTGCTGGCCCCATTAACACCTCCTCCAGCAGCAACCTTAGTTTTCCCAGGAGGTCTCCTATCCAGGTACTGACCAGGCTCACACTTGCTTAGCTTCAGTGGGTTGCCAGATGTAAATTGCAGAGTGACATGGCTGCTGACAGTGGGGGTCATGGGGGTAATAGTAATGGGGGGCAATCAGATCACTGCAGCATGCAGTATATACAGTAGTGTGGAGCAGTGTCCAGCACTCTGGACCCTGGGTCAGAGAGTTGAGGGTTCGAATCCGGGTTGGGGCAACCCTCTTGTACCTCTCTGTGTGCTCCAGTAAACGGCTCTGATGTATTAATGGGGCTCTGGGCTGTTTTGACAGGTGGAGCAGAGCGTGTGCCCAGAAGAGAAAGACGGACCGTCAGAATGCCCTACAACAATGGGAACACGCAGAGAGAGAGACTCACCATCTCCATTGACATCAATCTTCTCAAACACTCGGTTAGTAAATTCCTCCACTGACATCTCCAGATTGCAGCCATTAATGGCCTGGATAGCCTGAGAGAGAGAGAGGAGGGAGAGGGGGGATTTAAGGCTTGAAGGTCTTGACTTGAATGACTCCCTATTGTAGGCAGTCCCTGGTGTTTTCCCATGCTTTCATGCCCTTATCGTAATCCAGCTCAGTGTAAAGTGCTGTGAGATGGGACTTCAAGTGTGACCAATACCAGACGGCCTAGACAGGTGTCTGTGCAGTGATCAGCAGAGAGGACAGAGCTGCGAGAGCTCATGGGACAGAGCCTCTGAGGTGAAGGGATGTCCAGCTGGATTCACTGAAGGGGGGTATAGAAAAGTTAACACTGCATTATTAAGGGATAGGGAGCAGCTATAAATATGCCAGGGAATTACAGGCATAATCGTATCGGTTGCTGATTAACACAGCGTGCTGGTGGGGGGGACCAATCTGAGTCCCTCTGTAGAGGTGGGCAGCCCCCTGCCTGTCCCTTTGCCAGCATAGGGGAAGGGGGCTCAACCCAGGCCATCTCAGAGTGTCCTCTAACTGTTTCGCAGGAGGACAGTGAGGGCCGAGGCTGCGACCCCGGACCGTCCATCTCTCTGATGATCCCTAAACTCTCTCTCAGTGAACAGAGCCCTCTCTCAGTGAACAGAGCTGAACTACTCGTTTCCCTAATGAGGGCTCGTTTGGTGTTTCCATCTCCTAGACAGTTTCAGGTTCCTGGTTCCACCTGCAGCCCTGGTACCTTGATGATGTTGAGCAGCTCATAGCGGTCTATGCAGCCATTGCCGTCCGCATCGTACAGCTTGAAGTACCAGCGCAGCTTCTGCTCCATCTTGCCCCGCAGCACCAGGCTGAGAGCCGCCACGTACTCCATGAAGTCAATATAGCCGTCCTGCAGA